CGTCATTTAGCTGCAGGCTCCGCGAGGGCTACGATGGGGCTCGTCTGCTCCTGCATCACCTGCACCTAGGTTAGTGCCTGGCCTTATAGGGCAGACGCTCAGTAAATGTTTGTTGAATGAATAAATAAACGAGCTTGAATTCTAGTGCCGGCTCTGCCTCCTTCCGTGGCCCTGAGAAGTTTCCTTGGCCTCAGTTTCCCAGTCCGTTAAATAGGCCAGGGATGTCAGACTCAGAAACCTTGGGGAGGGTCTCCTCATTCTGACACGGTCTGAGTCTACAGTCACCTATCCGTTGGCCATGCTGGGCTGTCCCTGACTCTGCACCTTTCCAGCTCAGGGGAACTGGGCTATGGCCCCCGGATAGCCTGTGACTTATGTTTTTGTTTTTTTGTGTGTGGTCTTTTTTTTTTTTTTTTTTTTTTTTTTTTTTGAGAGAGAGATTTTTGCTATAGGGCACGTGCGCTCGCCAGACAGAGAGAGAGAGAGAGACATAGAGACAGAAAGCGAGAAATCACCCCCCAGGGGGGATGGTCACACCGCAATCCCTTCTCCTCCATTCTCCTCTTGGGATCTTGGGCACGCATGCACACGTGCCTGGCGTGAGTTTTAAGCCACCAGGTCTGGGACACGAACCGCGGTCAACCACATGGGAGTCCAGCGACATAGCCATTACACTAACTGCTGGTTCCCAGACTTATGTTTTTTTAATAATTATTTATTTAACTTTACTTATTATTTTTTTAATTTGCTATAGAGCAGGGCTGGCAGGTAGTGTGGTGGTTAAAGCCACTGGACTCCAACATGGCCGACGGCAGTTCAAGACTGGGACCTGGCAGCTGGCTTTCTCACTTTCTCTTTCTCTCTCTCTCTCTGTCCCTCTCTGGTCAAATTTAAATAAATAAATAAAGCTAAATAAAGTAATTCATTTTTTAAAAAAATAATTGACTATAGAGCATGCACACTCACCAGAGATAGAGAAAGGGGAGGGGGAAAGCCACCATGTCCGGAACTCAAACTACGGTTGGCTAGGTGGGAGTCCAGTCCCTTAACCACCACGGTACCTGCTGGCCCCTCCTGTGACTTATTGACAGGAAGGGGAGTGGCACTTCTTTGGGGTCTGGGAGTCCAGACCCCCATAGACCATCACACAACATCCAGTCAGAGGCATCGGCCACGTCAAAACCCAGGCCTGCCACCTCGGCAGAAGGAGCTGCCATCCTGCCAGGGGCTGTATGGCCCCAGAGAGCTCCACACCCCTGCCCGCCTCACCCAATCCCTTCTGTTCCTTAGACACACAGCGAGAGCCCCCAGAGCCTGCGTTCCCTCTGCTCCTAGACCACGAGCTCTGAGGGCCGCTCATCCTCAGATAAACCCCAGCTGAGCCATGCGTGTTGCTGGTGGCAGTTAGGGCGGGAAGGAGGTCCCCATTTTGGCAAGCCAAAGACAACGGAGTGACCTGCTCACTAACTGGGTTCCAGCCCCCCAACCCCCGGAGGTGTGATGTTAGGTCTCTTCTCAGTGCTCTGAGGTGGAGGAGGTTGCACAGGGTCACAGGCCTGCTCAGAGCCCACACCCGGCAACATGGCACCTTCCAGTTTAAGTGCCCCTGCGTCTCTCATCCCTTTGATCATGTTCCTGTCCGCTGGGGTGGGCAGGGGCAGGGATTATAACGGGAATTATGGCAGAAGAGGAGGTACAGTCCAGGGGCTTTCAGGATGGGAAGAAGCCCGGGCGACCATGAGGCCATGCCACACCCAGAGCAGCGGGAAGCCCGAGCTGGCTGCTGGCTGCTGGCAGCTGGTCTCTGAGGAGCCTCAGGGAGGGATCGCCTCTCAGCTCCTGTGAAAGCTCCACTTATGGAGGAACCACTGGACTGGGCATTCATGGTGGCCAACGAGGTCACACCCAAGGTCAGGCTGCTATGGAAACGGACCACACAGTGATCCCTGCTTAACATCTCCTGCACCAGAGAGTGGCAGACAGAGAACGACAGCCATGCCTGGCTCCGGCAACACGGCGCTGGTTGGCTTGGGCTAGACCCGGTTCCTGGGAAAGAGAAGGTGGCTCCCCCTCTCACCTTTGTGGATCAAGAAAATGTGCAAAGGCCTATTCAGGGATGCTGCAGGGGACGGAAAGGAAGTTGGGGCCAGAAAATCAGAAAAGGTCCTGGCAGCTGGTGGGGAGGGTCTGCCATTTAGGGTACAGATGCCCTGGCAGGGGTGAGCAGGGAGGAGAGAGCAGAGACAGCAGGATCCGAAGGGAGTACTGAGGGGGAAGGTGGGGAAGGAGAACTGGAGGGCGGAGAACCTGGGACAGCAGAGAGAAGGCAGAGAAGAGGAGGGGGAAGAGATGCGAGCAAAGGAGAGAAGAGGTGGGTCCACTAGTAAGAGGAGTGAGGGATGGGCCAGTGGCATGGCAGAGAGGGGCCGTGGAGGAGAGCAGGTGAGCAGGGACCGAGGGGTGCAGCTGACCCGCTCACAGACACCACCCGCAGTATACCACGGCTGTCAGCTGGAAGCGCAGAGCCCTGATGAACTGCAAAAATATTTTAAATAAAAGTCTTCTAAGCGTCAAAATATTGAAGTGGTTGTTGTCACACTGTGGGTTAGTTGCCATGGAGAAACAGCCCTGGCAGCCACTCCAACTGGATGCCAATGGGAGACGAGAAATGGGCCCTAAGGGGGCTGGCTGAGGGGTGGCATGGGGAGGGAGGGTCTCAGCCCAGGGCTAGGAATCCGGGAGGCTCGAGCTGGGACAGCTCCCCACCTCCCAGCCATACTTCCCTGAAAATCACCCAGCCTGCCTCGTCACCAATTTGGGAGGCACGGAACTGACAGGGAAACCGAGACTCAGAGAAGGTAGAAGAGCAGCACAAGGGACCAGAAGATGGTGTAATGGTTACATCACTAGACTCCTACATAGTTGACCATAGTTCAAGTCCTAGACCCGGCGGTTTAAACCTAATACCGGGGGACCAGCAGTGAGCATAATGACTATGTCACTGGACTTCCATGTAGTCTATCATGGTTCGAATCCCGGACCCAACAGCTTAAATTCACACCGGGCGCATGTGCATGCGTGCCCAAGAACCTGACTTGAAAATCATACTGGGTATGTGTGCACACATGCCTAAAATCCCAGGAGGAGAATGGAGGAGATGGAACTGTGGTGTGGCCATTCCCCCAGGGGGAGTGATTTCTCACTTTCCCTTTCTCTGACTGACTGACTGTCTGTCTCTCTCTCTCTCTAGCAAGCACATATGTCCTATGGCAAAAGAAAAAGAAAAAGAAAAAGAAAGAAAGAAAGAAAGAAAGAAAGAAAGAAAGAAAGAAAGAAAGAAAGAAAGAAAGAAAGAAAGAAAAAAGAGAAGAGAAGAGAAGAAAAAAGGGAAAAGGGAAAAGGAAAAGGAAAAGGAAATAAGAAAAGAAAAGAAAAAGGAAAGGAAAGGAAAGGAAAGGAAAGGAAAGGACAGGACAAGACGAGCTCCGCTCAAGCTCACAGAACAAGTGGGTGGCAAGGCTGAGACACATCCCAAGGGTCCTGCTCTGGGTCCAGATGTCTTCTCAGCACACTGTCTATTTCTCTTTCAAGACCTCATTTGCCAGCATTTCAAAGCCAGCGTGTCCCAGGACTAAGCCAACACCCTACATATGGCGGCTTCCCAGAGTGGGCCAAGCGGGCCAAGTGGGAGCTGGAACCATCCTCCTGGCCAAGTCACTCGTGTTGCTCCCCAACTCCCACCCAGCCCAGCTGAGCCTGGCTGGAGAGGGTCACCTCTCCTAAATTCCAGACTGACTCCCCTTCCCCCGGCCCCACTCCTGCCCAGCACACTCACACCCTGAGCCTTCGCCTCTGCTGGTGTCTCAGCCTGAAATGCCCACCGCATCTGAAGGCCCTTTCACGGCACTCAGAGGGCCCCTTGCCAGGTCTGGGCATTTGCAGCGATGAGCTGCCATGCAGACTGACTTCCCTGACCCCGCCCCGGCAAAGTCTTCCTAACACTGGCTCTCTTCCCATCCAGAAGGCTGACCTTAGGGCTAGCTAGGTGGCATTGTGGTTAAGGCGGCTGGATCCCAGATAGACCAATGCACAGTTCGAGTCCCAGACCCAGTAGCTTGAAAACCAAGCTGTGCACGTTTGTGTGAGTGCCCAAAATCCCAAAAGGGGAATGGAGGAAAAGGGCTGTGGTGTGGCCATCCCCTCTGAGGGGTGATTTCTCACTTTGTCTTTCCCTCTGGTGAGCACATGGGCCCTACAGCAAATTTTTTAAAAAGTCCCATCCTGGATCATAGGCGCAGCTTCTCCTCCATGCGGCTTGTCACCTCCATGCCACATGGCCTTCGTTCAGTTCCTGGAATGCTCCCAGGATTCCCTACTCCAGGGCCGTTGCACCTGCCGTCTCCTATCTGAGAAGCTCTTCCTTCTGCTCCACACCTGGCCAGCTCCTACCCACAGCTCTGCAGAGAGGATGTTAACAACCTCCCCACCCACACTGAATGAGGCGTCATTCAGTACCGGCTCGTGCCTTTTACCTGACGGCACCGGCACCGTTCCCCGCTTGGAATGGTATTTGCCCTTGTTGAAACTGGCCTCTCCCACAGAACCGTAAGCTTGATGACGGCAGCGACCGTGCCAGCAGTTTACTGCCGTGTGCTCAGCACCTAGTACAGCTCCCAGCCCATGGAGAAAAATAAAACGGAAGTACCAGTTTGAATCGGTGCAAAAGAACTTTGTAAACCCATGCAGAGCTTTTTCGTAATCCTCATTTCCTGTGATCTGTTTGAAGACCCCCGATACCAGGGGCTTGGCAAATCCTTCAAGGAGTGATTGGATGAACTCCAAGCCCCACTCTGAAGGCACTCCCCGACTGGCTAAGTGCAGTGCGGAACTGCAAATACCAAGGCAGAGTGAGGAGGGGGACGAACCCCCAGCTGCGATGCCCCTCTCAGGGCTTCTGGGAAGGCCACCCTGCCGGTGCTGTGAGGGTGGGGATCACTCACCTCTAGCATCAAAGAATTCGTCGTCCGAGCTGTCCACTGAGTCACTGAGGACATTCCGAAGGTGCCAGGGGGCACCGCCGCCCGGGGGAGGGCCACCTGCCAAAGGGAACACACCCGTTAGCCAAGCCTAAGACTGTGTCCCAACATGAAGCCGGTGACCCCGGAGTCCCTTGAATTAAGGCACAGTCCCTCGTGACATCAGACGTCACAAAGCCCACCTACGACATGCTCCCAGGTAAACCCCAAAACCTCTCTGAGAAAGTTCAGCTGGGCAGAAATGAGCGCCCATTACTGAAAGCGAGGCTGGGGGATTTAGCTGACCTTGCCTGACCGCTCAGCACAGGGCGGGTCTGCCGTGTTAACAAGTGAGCTCAGCTGCTTCAAACAGCAGGGGCTCAGTCTCCCTCCTGCACAGGGAAGGGGACTCTGGTGGTCATCCAAAAGCACCATCACATTATGACGTCACCATCTCAAAATGAGACTTCAAGGTCTGACCCAGCCCGGGAGAAGCACACAGAAAATCATGCCCCACCTTAAATGCTCCTGCCCAGAATGACATACTGCTGCTCACATTTCATTGGCCCTGGACACCAGGCATGCATGTCCTGTCCCCACAGAGACCTGGGCTCTTTATTTTATCTTATTAATTATTTTAGAGGTTTTTGCTGTTTTGTTGTTGTTGTTTTGTTTTGCTATAGGGCGCGTGCTCTTTCCAGAAAGACAGAGAGAGACAGAGAGATAGAAAGCAAGAAAACACCCCCCAAGGGGAGATAGAGGCACTGCAATCCCTTCTCTTCCATTCTCCTCTTGGGATCTTGGGCACTCACGCACATGCACCCGGCATGAGTTTAAGCCACTGGGTCTGGAACTCAAACCACAGTCGACTACATGGGAGTTCAACGACATAGCCATTACACTAACTGCTGGTCCCAAGACCTGGTTCTTGAATCAGCAATGCCCCTGCCTCAGTTTCCCCATCTGTATAGTGAAAACCTGACAGAGACTCTCTCTTGAGTCTTCCACTCTGACTGACATTTGAGGAACCTGGCTGGCACGTAGCAGGTGTTGCTCTTAAGAAGCGAGAGGTTGGGAACCAGCAGTTAACATAATGGCTATGTCGCTGGACTCCCATGTAGTCGACCGCGGTTCGCGTCCAGGACCCGGTGGCTTAAAACTCACGCCGGGCGCGTGTGCGTGCGTGCCCAAGATCCTGAGAGGAGAATGGAGGAGAAGGGATTGCGGTGTGACCTTCCCCCCAAGGGGGTGATTTCTCGCTTTCTGTCTCCATGTCTCTCTCTGTCTGTCTGGCGAGCGCATGCGCCCTATAGCAAAAACCTCTCCAAAAAAGAAAAGAAGCGAGAGGTGGACATCATCCCAGTCAGGCCAGTGTGGACTTTACAATGCAGTCCTTGGAGGACCTGCTGCAGCCTCAGCCCACCCTGCCACCCTGCAGGACACTGGCACTCTTCCCTGCCCTGAGCCCAGATCCCAGAGTTTAAACTGTTCCTGAAAGAGAGAGGCCAGCCTCGAGTCCCTAGGGACACAGCCCTCCCCTCTGTCATTCTGCCCCACCTACCACAAACTCCCAAACACCCACCCAACTATGCCCCATGTTGGAGCCAAGAGAGAAGCTCATTCTGAAATACAGAAAGGGTAGAGGCCACGGGGAGCGCCAACCCAGGAGTCACCGCTGGGTGCAAAGCGGGGTCCCCTGGGGGTCCTCTAAGCTTCTGATCTCCCATTCTCCCCCACCAGTGAGGGCAGCATAACAGGCTGGCTTAGCATTTCCCCTCCTCGGCCCTGGGTTTACTTCAAGGAGGTCTGGGAATCTGGGAATCCAGACACACTGTAACTGTATTTCTTATGTGGCTATGGGACTGTTTTCCAAATGTTTGTGGAGAAAGTCCTAGTTATAAGACAAGAAAAAAATGAAAGATAAACAGATTGGAGAGGAAGAAATAAAAGCATTCTCAGATGACACACCTGTCTATGTAAAAAACAAAAAGCTATTAAATCTATCAAAAAAAAAATTAATGAAATTCATAGCTGAAGGGCTGACCAGTGGCATGGTGGTCAAGGCACTGGACTCCCACATGACTGACTGTGGTTTGAGGCCCAGACCTGACAGCTTGCTTTCCCACTTTCCCTCTTCATCTCTTTCTCTTGCTTTCCCGCTTTCCCTCTTCATCTCTTTCTCTCTCTCTCTCTCTCTCTGTCTCTCTCTGCAAATTAAAATAATAATAATAAATTAAATTAATAATTTTTAAAAGAAATCTATAACTGAAAATAGCAAGATTATAGGACACAGGGTCAAGGGAGCTTCCCAACCCACAGGCACTGTGCTGGGTGTTGGGACACCATGGTACATAAGAGCGACAGGGTGGGGTTCTCACAAGGCTTACACTCTGCGGGGGGTGGAGGGGACAGGGAAGTTCGACCCCTATCAGGCGAACAATAAAGATAATTTCAACAGTGGAAAGTGCTATGAGGAACAAAAAACTCCCTTTCTACCTTCGCCATGTCCTCTTTGCTGTAGTGTCTCTTTAAGCAAGAATAGCCTAAAGAATAGACAGACAGGGCCAGCCCTAGTGACTAAGGGAGCCCAATCCCACATGGCCAACCATGGTTCAAATCCCAGCCCTGGCAGCTTGAAAACCTTGCCGGGATCAGCAGGTGGTGGTCCAGGCGTTGGACTTCTACACGGACAACCATGGTTCAAGTCGCAGACTTGGCAGCTTGAAAACCACACTAGGGCTCCCATGTAGTTGACTGCAGTTCGAGTCCCGGACCCAGTGACTTAAACTCACACTGGGCACATGTGCATGCATTCCCAAGATCCCGAGAGGAGAATGGAGGAGAAAGGATTGCAGCGTGGCCATCCCCCTGGGGGGTGGGGGAGGGTAATTTCTTGCTTTCTATCTCTGTCTTTCTGACAAGCACATGTACCCTATAGCAAAAGCCTCTCAAGGAAAATCACACTGGGTATGTGTGAATATGTGCCCAAAATCTCAGGAGGAGAATGGAGAAGGGATTATGGTATGGCCATCCCTCCAGGGAGGTGATTTCCCACTTTCCTTCTCATTCTCTCTGGCTAGTGCACACTCCCTATGGGAAAAAAAAAAAAAAAAAAACTTTAAAAAGGAAAAATAGACACTCACCAAGAGCATGTGCGTGCATGCCCCCAAATCCTGGCAGGATGGAGAAATGGAGGCAAAGGGACACAGTGCGACCACTCCCAGTAGGAGGGGCTTCCCCTCTCCCCCCACCTCTGGCAAGTGTCTGTGCCCACTGGCAGTAAAGAAATAAGGTTTTTTTGTGGTTTTTTTTGAAGAGGTTTTTGCTATAGGGCACTTGCACTCACCAGACAGACAGAGAGAGACACAGAGACAGAAATTGAGAAATCACCCCCCGGGGGGATGGTCATGCCGCAATCCCTTCTCCTCCATTCTCCTCTCAGGATCTTGGGCATGTGCGCACACACCCCCCGGCGTGAGTTTCAAGCCGCTGGATCCGGGACGCGAACCGTGGTCGACTACATGGGAGTCCAGCGACATAGCCATTACGCCAACTGCTGGTCCCAAGAAATAAGTTTTTAAAAGTTCTTTAAAAAAAAAGAAAAAAAAGAATAGATAAGCAAAAGGGCCAGGTGATGATACCCAGACTCACATGGAAATGTTCCCGCTCACATCCTGGGCCCTCCCGTGCACACTGGGTGTGTGCACATGCCCAGACAGGGACTGGCTGAGGCTGGTGGTGGACTGTGCTGTGAAGGCCTTGCTGGAGATGCTGGTCTCTCTCCCTCTCAGTAAATAAACAAAGTTTGGAACAAATAAGCATGGATGGGACCAGCAGATGGTGTAATGCTCACGTCACTGGACTCCCCACGTAGTTGACCGCAGTTCGAGTCCTGGGCCCAGCGGCTAGAAATTAACACTTGTCGCACGCACGCGAGTGTGTGTGTGTGTGTGTGTGTGTGTGT